ATATAATTTATATATCTAAAATATCTATTTATTCAAAATTTATATTTAATTTATATATTCAAATATAATATTTATATATATATATATATAATTTATTTTAAACTTTAGTTATATATAATAAAAACTTAGCTTATGTATTGCATATATTTAAATACTAGATACATATTAAATTTGGGAAGTGACTTTTTTTTAATCTAGATATTCTTTTCTTATTTAGTCTTAAATTTACATATAAAGAATATTCTATCAAATTTTATGAATTATAAACAAATTATTAACTCCAAAAGTTAAATTACAAAAATTTAAAGATTCAATTGCAGCTTTTTTTTAGTGTAGGACTTGATTAAAAATTATAAAAAAAATTACGGAACAAGTGATGTATTAATCTTAAGATATATGTTGAAATTCATTAAGTCCTTATTAAGATATAAATATTAAATATTTTGTCAATTTATTTATATTATTTATCAATCATTTTTAATTTTTTTTTACAATGTACGTTTTATTTATTTATAAAAATATTAGCTAAATGCTGAATTGTGTAATGTATTTATTTATCTACTTGTATAAATATTATTTTAACAATATTAAATGTTATATCAATATTTATTTCCACGTATAATTTACTTATATATATATATATATGTTATGTCAATGTATAATAAAATTTTCTTATATTTTTATCAATATTTACTTTAAAAAAGTGAAATCTTATATTTTTCATCATTTATCGAAAGAAATTTGAATTAAGTGACTTTATTTTAATAATTAAAAAAATAAATTAAATAAAATCAATCCCAAAAATATGATGAGTGGAATTGAATTCAGATTCTTTAAAAAAATGTTTGAAGTTTTAGTGTTGTGAATAAAAAAGTGGTTGATAGAGATGATCCTAATGAATATGGTCAATGATATATATATATATATTTTAATGAAAACTAATCTATACTTATTATAAATAGGGTATATTTTAAGAACTACTTTTTTAGTTTTTAATTTTTAATGAACCTTTATGTCTCTTGAATATAAAAATAAAAAAAATTCTTATATTTTTGATAATTTTTAATATTTATTTGTGTATAATTATTATAAACACGAAATATCTCGATTTTTTTAGTTATTAAAAAAATCAATAAATTTATAAATATTTTATATCTATAATATAACAATTTAAAAAAAATTAAAAATTATAATTACGTATAGAGTAAATATAGAATAAATCATACACACCCTCATATTATAACGTCATTTGATCATAAGATATTATGTATTATTACTTTATTGAGTTTTACAATAATCAGATTAAAATTCATTTTAAAATATTTTTAATTAGTAAATACAATGAAAATTTTAAACTTTTCTTACAGAAAATGCTTGTTCAACTCTAAAATGTAATATTTTAAATATTAGATCGACGGGCTAGACTGATCTAATCGGTCTCATTCACTAAAAAAAAAATTATAATATTTCAAAGTTGATAAAAAAAATGGTGTAAAAAATTAGTATTGTTATTATTTTCTGCTGAAAAATATTTTAAAATATCTATACGAAAATATTTAATCGTTTATATTAATTTAGAATATAAAATATTTTTTAATTATTTATAATACTTTTCACTCTTTTCTTATAAAGCATATAACTTAATTATTTTTATTTATTTATAAAAATTATATATATATTTTTTATAATTCTATATTATATTAATTTGACATTTTTTTTATTTTTGATGTAATATTGTTATTGTTAATGAATATTATTATATTTTATTAAAATTTAAACTTAAATATTGGGTAATTTTTAGTTCGGACTTTTAGTCTCATATGTGTTCATTTAATGTTGAGATTTTAAAAGATGAGGTTTTATTTTAATTTTAGTATTATAAAAGTATAAATATTATATTTATTTAATATTTTTTATATATTATTTAATTATTATTATTATTATTTTATTAATACCAATTTAACTTATAACACCTCACATTTTTGCAATTAGATTAATAATATGTATTTTATCATTAAATTTTAAGGATTGATGTATAAGAGCATTTTAAGGTTGGAATTGTATATTATATATTTGTTTTTAGTAAATTATATGGGGTTATATTTTAATATAATGTTTTATTGTTATTATAATTATTGTTACTATTATTATAAGGTTAGGGAAAG